ATGGGGCTGTGGGGGCACCCGCTTGGCCGGGAGCCGCCCTGGGAGGGCGGAATATGGGGCCGGTGGGTCCGTCTGTCTCCCTCCCTCGCCCCGGTGCCCGTCTGAGGACCGTCTGCTTCCTTTTTCCAGTTGGCGATTCACGTTTTACCTTATTGCTTTCATTGCTGGCATGGCTGTCATAGTGGATGTAAGTATTGGCCCCCGCCGCGCGTGCCCGGCCCGGTTGGCCCCCCCCTGCCCCCTCTAACACCTCTCCGTCTCTCTCTCCTCCCCGCATCCCGCAGAAACCCTGGTTCTACGACCTCCGGGAGGTGTGGAAGGGATACCCCATCCAGGTGAGCACCCGACCCCGTCCCATCGCCATCCCGCGGCCCGCCCTGCCCCCAGGAGCTGCCTGGGCGACGAGAGATGGGAACCGGAGCCCCCGGGGGTGTGGGAGGGCGTCTCTGGCACCCGTGTGGGTTTGGCTGATGCACGGAGAAGGGGTTTGCACGCCATGGGGCGCAGAAGGGTCCCCAGGACACCCATGGGTCTGGCTGGTGCCCATGGAAGGGGATCAAACCCCCTTGGAGGGTGCACATAGAGGATCCCCCCCCCCCAACCTGTCTCTTGGCTTTCAGAGCATGCTGCCTTCCCAGTACTGGTACTACACGATCGAGCTCTCCTTCTACTGGTCCCTGCTCTTCAGCATCGCCTCCGACGTCAAGCGCAAGGTGGGCTGCGACGGCGGGGCTCTCTGGGGACAGGGGTGGCCAACACGGGGACGTCTTGGCAGGGTTTTCTTCGCCCTCATGGGGGGCGTTAGGGACCAGCAGGCTGGGAGGATCCGGGGCCACGGAGGGGATCTTGGAGACGAGAGGGATGGCGGGGCGCTGGGGGTTGGAGCCAGGCTGCCGTAACCCCCGGCTCCCCCTTTCCTGGGCGCAGGACTTCAAAGAGCAAATCATCCACCACGTCGCCACCATCATCCTCATCAGCTTCTCCTGGTTCGCCAACTACATCCGTGCAGGGACGCTCATCATGGCCCTGCACGACTCGTCGGACTACCTGCTGGAGGTACGTCCCCCTCCGCGCCGCCACGGACTTGGCCACGGCCCGTGTCCCCTCCCCGACTCACCCCCCCCTCTGCCCCTGCAGTCCGCCAAGATGTTCAACTACGCCGGCTGGAGAAACACCTGCAACAACATCTTCATCGTCTTCGCCGCCGTCTTCATCGTCACCCGCCTGGTCATCCTGCCCTTTTGGTGAGCGCCGGTTGCTGGTTGAATGAGTGGGGAAACTGAGGCACGGGGCAGGGAGACCCGCTGGGGGTGGGATGCCAGTCCCTGCCTGTAAGAGAGCTGCTTCTCCCGGCAGGATCATGCACTGCACGCTGGTTTATCCGCTGGATCTCTACCCTGCCTTCTTCGGCTACTACTTCTTCAACTTCATGATGGTGGTGCTGCAGTCGCTGCACATCTTCTGGGCCTACCTCATCATCCGCATGGCCCAGAAGTTCATAACTGGAAAGGCAAGAGGGGGCCTGGGGTCGGCTCGGGGCTCCCAGCCCCGCAGGGAGACGCTGCTGCGGGGCGAAGGGGCTGTATCCGGACTGGACCCGGCCCATGTGGCTTGGGGTGGATGGAGGGGCGCGCGGGTCTGCCCCCGGGGAACGAGGTGGAGGTGGGGGGTTTGCAGGGGAGACCCCAAACCACGAAGCCGGACTGCACTCGGCTTCCCGAGTCCTGGAGAGCCCTTGGTGGGGAGGGATTGGGGTGGAGAGGAGACCGCGGTGGTTGCGATGGGGGAAACTGAGGCACGGCAGGAAAACGGTGCCGCTGAGCGAGCGAGCCCCCCCTTCCCTCTCCCTGCACAGGTGGTGGAGGACGAGAGGAGCGACCGTGAAGAGACAGACAACTCGGAGGAGGAGGAGGAGGCGGCGGCAGCGAAGAACGGGCCCCTCTCCAACGGCCACCCCATCCTCAACAACAACCACCGCAAAACCGACTGAGCGCCCTCGCCCCGTCTCTGCGCTGGCGGGGGCGGCCGGGGGCCCCGCCGGAGGCCAAACCCGTGAGATGTCAAATCCCACCGATGCCACCCTCGCGTAGCGCCAAGGTCCCCGTCCCCTCCATCCTCTCCCCTCCCCGGTCCAGCAGAGCGAACCGGGACCCCGGAGAGCCCCTCTCCGCCCCCCCCCCCCCCTCCCCCCGGGGGGGGCCGGCGGCCGCATGCGGGACCATTGCGGCGCTCCCCATGGT